GGGCTCTGAACGGCTCTGAAAGGAAGGTTCAGGGCTGATGGTATGGGTTAGTCGTTGGGGTGGAAAATAGAAAGACTTTCTCTGTACTGATAATGGGTAGCGTTTGCGTAAACGCGGTGAAGTCACTATCGGTCTCACCCCCTCACATTTGCCATTTGCGGTATTTGCTGAGTTGGTGCGATTGACGGAATCCTGATCCTGGTGGCGGCGCGAGGGGGCTGCGGGGGAGAGGCATGCGACCCGGGTGGAGGGGGCATGGCCCGGGCGGCGAGTACAGCACCGCACCACCACTGCCGGGCCCGGGCGGCACGACGGAGCGGGCGGAGCGTGGTCAAGTTGTCAGTCAATGTTTAGCTAACGGCCGAGCCGCGCACAGTCACACACAGCCTCCGCCGGACCCACCACCGCCCCCACTGCGCACCGCCCTGCAATGTACCAAGCCCTACCGTGCGGTCAGTGTCCATGGACTGTCAACCCGACCCGGCGTCTGCAAGCCCGCCTTCTGCTTCAGATGGCCGTGTGCTTTGTTGTTGTTTTCCTTGAATTTACTGTTGCTGTTTGTCCCAAGTAGCATGACATTTGTTGACAACGTGCCCGTGGGATGGATTTCGTTGATCCCCATTAGTACTTGGTGGTCTGTTCCTCAATTTTATATTAAATTATTGGGAGTCTAATGTTTGTGCTCAGTGGGTTACTTGTGTACTCGAACTAAATCATACCAAACTTTTCCATGTATGGGTGACTTCCCCAACGACGTTTCCTGCGGTCCTCGCTCTACGTCCACGTTTTTAAATCCGTGCTGTATCTTGTCTAAGTTACTTTATGCCAATCTCGTCTTGGGTGGTTGGTCCTGGACTTGAAGATCGCTAGGTCTCTATACTCCCCTCTGCTGACGCGGCAAACGCGGTGGATTCGGAACCATGTCATAAAAATTTAACGAGTTTTTCACGGCAGTTATTGTGCAATTAAAAATGTATAGGCTCTCGTCGCCTTGCCCGCCTCTGCCTAGTCTACCCCTCTGCGCACTCACTAGGCGCGGGCAGGTGGACAGCAGTCCGACCAGCACGGCCGGGCGAACTCTTATCGGATCGAACGCGTATCTGCAACCGAGGCGAGGGTGGCGGCGCGGGGGCCTCGCGGGGGCGGTGCGGGGGCGGCCAGGAGGGCAAGAGGCGTGTCCAGGCCGCGCCCCCCGAACAATTCTCGACCGCCCCTGGCGGGGAAATGCCCGGCAGCGTGCTCGCGGAAATTCGCGACGGACATCAAAGCGTTTAGCGTCAATCGACAAATCGCCTCGTAAAAATTTGCTATCGCGGGCTGGTCGGCCTGCAGGCGCGCGGTGCGAGTGTGCGGCCGCCGCGGCCGCCACGCCGCGAGGAATGCCGCGCACTGGCGCCCCCCGCGAGCCGTTGTCGTCAGCACCCGTACTCCTCCTCTATGCCGTGCACTTGAACAAACAAGTGTGCGAGGGCGCGCAACAGCTCTCCTTCCTGACCGCACCCGCCTCTCTGTTCCAGACCCCAAGAAGGCGAGAGCGGCGCCCATCCCCAACTCGGCGTCCATCCCCAACTCGGCGTCTGTCGCGTCCACCTCGGTGCTTGTCCTCAGCGCCAGTAGCCGCCTGTCCCGGCCGAGCTCGCGCTACCGCAACCTCATCGCCTACTGGATCCTCGGGCTGTGCAACAACTATGGCTACGTCGTCATGCTCTCGGCCGCCTACGGGATTCTCCACAAGGATGAGACCGTAAGCCAAATCAGCCGCGTGGTCTGTCAACGACGCCAAGTTCACAAACTGCCATGTTCTAACTGATTCGATACTGCCCTTTCTGTAGAAAACGGAGATCGAAGGAAATCGCCACTGCAACGAGCTTTCGACCGGCGCAGTCCTGCTGGCCGACATTGTCCCCAGCCTCTTCATCAAGTTTGTCTCGCCCTTCTTCCCGCTCTTCATCCAGTGAGTACGCCCCCCCCCCCTTCCCGCTCCCGGTGGCGCTCCCTTCCCCGCGACTTGGTCTTCACGTGCCTCTTGTCCTTGCGCAGCACACGTCTGGCGGCGGTGGTCATGCTCAACGTGTCCGGCTTCCTGCTAGTGGCGTACGCCGAGCAGCTCTGGGTGGCGCTGTCGGGCGTCGTGTGCATGTCGCTGGCCTCTGGGCTGGGCGAGGTGTCCCTGCTGGCCTACACCGCCTTCTTCAAGGACAAGTGAGTGCAACGCAACGGGGTGTAGTCGAGGCCTCACACCTGCCTTCGGACTTTGGCTCATTCCAGTGCATTGTTTGCAGGGCGGTGATCACCATGTGGTCCTCTGGCACCGGCGGTGCCGGCGTGCTCGGCTCCGTCTCGTTCCTCGTCCTGAGCGAGGTGCTGATGCTGTCCTCTAGGGACACCCTCCTAGTCATGAACGTGGCCCCTTTCCTGATGGCCGTGGCGTAAGTATGTGGGGAAAAGCTGCCCCCTCGCGTCGTGGGCATGACCAAAGGTGACAAATGCAATATCGAATCGACGTCGAAAGTGGATTTTGTCGACTTTGAGCTCAAAAAGGCATCAAAACGGCGTTATTTTGGACCGCAAATTGTTAGAAAACGATGTCGACGTCGATTCGAAATTGTATTTCTCACTGGGGCCTTATGGGGTCGGTGATGGTGTCGTAACGATGTCGTCTGTGCAGGTTCTGGGTGATACTGGTGCGTCCACGACTCGACTCCTCCGATGACGAGGAGACCCCCGTCACGGCCCAGAAGGAGAAGGCCGTCATCGTCAAGGTGCACGACGACGTGCCGACCCAGGCGACCAACGCCTCATTCTTGGACAAGCTCCGCGACGTGCCCCCGCTACTCAAGTTCATAGTTCCGCTCACGTTTGTGTACTTCTTCGAGTACTTCATCAACCAGGGATTGGTGAGTGGATCTGACCCCGCATGTTGTTGAGTATGTTTCAAGTTTGGGCTGTTTCGTTTACTCGACCTTCTCTTCCACCCCACCAGTTTGAGCTAATCCACTACAACGACCAGGAGTCGTGGCCACTACAGTACAAAGTATTCCAGTCAGTCTACCAGGTGGGCGTGTTCTTGTCCCGCTCTTCCGGCAGCTTCTTCCACATTGAGAAAATATGGATCTTGTCTGTGCTGCAGGTAAGAGGGAATCGAGGGAAGGCCAAGGGAAGAGACGAAGAAAACACTGGGAATGGGTTTACATAAGTCTTGTTAATTTCTGCAGGGCGTGAACGTGATTTACTTCATGACGGAGGCGATATACGGATATTCCTCCTCGATGTACGTTGTCGCCGCTCTCGTGTTGTGGGAAGGGCTGCTCGGGGGCGCCGCCTACGTCAACACGTACTTCTGCATATCAAAACAGGTGAGTACCCGGAGATTCCCTGGTCTGTCCCGAACCAGGCCGACGACCGTCCTCCGCCGGGTGCACAGCACAGTCGTCGGCGCGTCCTTCGGCGCGTCGGGTCCTTGGCGCCTACGGTCCTACGGTCTGGCCGCGGGTGCGCGCCGGTGCGCTGCGGGTCTGCCTACCCCGCTGTCCACGGGCGCTAACGGAGGGACTTGCTTTCAGATCGCACCGGAGAAACGCGAGTTCTCCATGGCCATGTCCTCGGTCGGGGACGCCGTCGGCATCTCGGCGGCGGGCTTCGTCGCCATGCCGGTCCACAACGCGCTGTGCAGGTTGCCCTCGCCCATGCTCTAGCGGCGATTTCAGCACGTCAGGTGTCACTTCATCCTCGCTGAGGCCGGGCATCCATGGCTGCTAATGTGGCTGTCTTGCCAAAACGGTGGCGCTTCCGCCTCTAGTATTTTGAGTAATAGTTACCATATCTATCGCAGTTAGTGAATTAGGCACTTGGTGTAACTGACCGACGTGGGTTGTAACGAACGTTAGTGTTCGGGTTTTAACAACGACTGTGCTACCCTCTGGGACCATGTCTCGTAGAGGACCCACTCAGAAACCTGTATTTGTTATGAGTTTTCTCAAATGGTTAGTTCCTGCTGTGTCAGGAAAGCCTTATTGAGTATCTATTTAAGGAAAGGATGCTGTGATGAGTTTATTTATGTAAGAGGGCCAATTTCCCATAGGAAACAGTTGTGCTTCCCACATTTTCATTCCACAGAACTTTTCCAGAAGAGGTGCACAATGCTACATTGCACAATACTATCATCTCATTTATACAGTTTTTATTTCTGTACAGTATTCTTCTTCAATGCGAAGAAATCATACGCTTAGAGAGATTTTAGGTCGGTCTAATATGCATCATATTTTATGATGTACTTTTAGGTGCTAATTTTTTAAATGTTAAAATGTGCATTGCGCAATACATAAGTGATATTAGGAGATAATCAACTGAAAATGATCAAGTCTTATGCGATTGAGTTTTGAGAAATTTTAATTATTTTAATTCATGACGTAAGAAATTTTGTATGTTATTTCATCAGCACTTATCCAGTTCCTGGACTGAAAAAGTGCGTAATTCTAAGTCAGTCACGCGAGAGATACCTGATCAAACTGCGATATTGTACATTATTTATTTATATTCAAGTATTTTAAGTGTAGTACAAGTAGTACAAAATAAGTATATTTCTTGTCCAAGTGTAGTTTTTCTAAACAAATTCTATTTCTGAACTGGCTTTGATTCTTCCTTTTGTACATATTATTTATACTTGTATTTAATAGCCTCCATACTTCCATCAATCTTTCCCTCCCACCGTGTTTTTAACCAAGTAGGAAGAAGGGCGTCGTAACGTAACGTAACTTGTGAGAAAAAGCGCAAATCCAGAAAATTAAATTGGAATTTTCAAAGCTTTTTTGGAAACTTTCCCTTCTTGTTCTTCGAAGAACAGATCTCTAAAACTCTGCCAGAGAGATGAAAATGCTTCAATGACGCTTGAAATTTGCATTTTTAATTTCCTTTATGTTCTTTTTTTCGTTATGCGTTAAGTTACGTTACGACGCCATGGTAGAAAGTCAGTGTTTTCTTTTATCATTCTTACTTGTTGTGTGATGTTATGCCCATATCATCCTAATTACTAGATGCAGTAATAACTATAAATTTTTTATACTTCAAAATTTTGATAACGGTTAGCAAAGTTTAGTTAGAATGCATTCCTTGTTTATTTGTATTCATCAGCAATAAAATGTTGAATAAATATTTTTTTTAACGTTAACACCTCTTTTTTGGGGGGTGAGTACATGTACTACGACGGCTGCTGTTGACTGGCACCCGATTCGGTCTGCTTGGCGGGTGGGCTGCCCGCCTCTCGGGCGCTCGCTGTGCTGCGCTAGAGAGCAGTGCGGGACGGTGCCGTGTGGGTTGGGTGGCCGGCTGCCGGCGCCGTCTCGCGGCACCTCACCAGCTGGCCTGAGCGAAGCGACCCGGTTTGGAACCGATTCTAACCGACTCTTCTGCTGCAGCCATTGTGGTTCGAACGCGACCACAGCATTCGGGTCTATCTCAACCGAATCCGTAGCACTGGTGTGGCGGAGCGTAGTGAGTGCGAGCGGAGCGCAGGTGAGAGGTGAAGCGGGGGGAGTGAGAGGGGAAGTCGTAGGGGGTCCGGTGAGGAAGAGTCGGTTTCGGTTCGGGTCCGGGTTGAGACGCTCTAGGATTCGGTTTGGATTCGGGTCCAAACCGGGTCGCTACGCTCAGGCCAGCCTCACCACAGCGAGTCCGACACAACAACTTGTCTCTCTCTCCGCGGCTTGGCGTCGCGTCGCACCTCCCGTGCACTTCGCGGCGCCTCGGTGTACCTGGCGCTATGGTGCCCGCCGGCGCCACTGGGCAGGGCCCGGCGCCCGGCAGGGACTTGCGGCCTCGTCGAGTGGCAGAGCGCCGCAGAGAGTACACTCAGTCAGTCTTTCAGTCTTGGCGGGGGGCGGGGCTCACTGGTCAACGATGAGGTTGATGTCCTCGCCAGGGTGGTACTTGTCCTTGTGCTCGTGGAACAGCTCGAACAGCGCCTTCTCGAACTTGTCCATCAGGTCGGCGATCTGCTCTCGGCTGGGCTCCGCCACCCGCTGCACCGGGATGGGCTTCCCCACTGGAACACACGAGCGTCACGTGACTGGCGCCTTGAGACGCCCTCCGCCCTCCTCCTCTCCTCTCTGCGTGCATAGCTTACCGACGACGGTGAGGGGCAGCCGGTGAGGCACGGCGCCGAAGGAGTACTGGAACACGCCGCGGCCCACGGGCACCACGGGGACGAAGCCGATAGAGCGCCGCGCCCAGCTCTGCAGCCGGTCCATGAAAGAGCCGCGCACTTGTGAAAGCAGCTTGTGCTCGTTGAACGTGAAGACGGGCACCAGCGGCACGCTGCGGAGGGAGCCGAGCGGTGAGTCCGGGTGAGATCTAGAAGAGCCCAACCCCCGCTTCCCCGATGTGAGCCTCACCCCTCCTGCAGGGCGACGCGCACGAAGCCCTTCCTCCTCTTGAGCACGATGCGGTAGTCGCCCGGCTCGGACAGCTGCGCCTCGGCCGCGCCGCCCACCACCAGAACCACGAGGCGGCCCTTCTTGGGGTCGGACAGCGCGTAGCGAATGCTCTTGTCGGCGGCGCTGATCAACCCTAAAAGAAACGCGCTTAGCGCTGAGCCAGTGCCACCAAGGGCGTGACACGGCCCACGAGCCACTTACCCTGCGAGAGCAGCATCTCCCTCAGGAAGGGCACCTTGAAGTTCTGCCGCAGCGTGACCAGGTTGGGCGTCGTCCCTGGGAACAGCTTCCTCACCCCGAGCGCGTCCGTCCCGAAGCTGTGGAAGGTTATGAAATGCCATTTGATGAGAAGGAGATCACGAGATCACGCGGCACGACTCGGCGCTGCTGGGCCGGCCCGGCCAGCGACAATGGAGCGCCTGCGTATCGTGGGGTAGGCAACCCCGCCGCGCAGGAAAGCGGAGCTGGCCTGCCTATGTCGCAGGCGATCAGGAGGCTACCCTGGCCAAGCTGCCGGCTGGCCAGGGGAAGCGAGCACAGCGCCATTCCTTAACATTTTCATGAACAACAACCAAATAAAGGTCACCTGGAGAGCACGCCCGTGCCTATGATGCCGTGCGGGTAGGAGCACAGCAGGTAGTTGGAGTCGGGTGGCAGCTCAGCTGTCTTGACGAGGGTGACGGGGAAGTAGTCACGGAAGAGGTTCCACAGCACGCAGCCTCGCACCCACCCGAGCCCCCGCCCTGCAGACAGTTCGTTCTTTTGTTTTCTTTGCGATTCCGATTTCGAACCTCTTCATTTTGGCTTGGCATGCCGTACCGACCGTTTCTCCTGCCCCCGCGGTCACAGGTGTGCCGGTCGAAGTACATCCAACTGAGATACAGCGGCACAAGGCATCGCAACAGCGGGTTCAGGAAGAGGATGGTGATGAGGCCCCAGACGATCCAAGGAGCGAGGAACAGCGAGTACATCCACCACGCCACGACGAGGGTCTGCAGCCGGCGTGACAGGGGCGTGGCCAGCGGCGCCCAGCGCACCCCCAGCACCATCGTACCTGCAACAAGAAAGAAGAGGCTCTGTGTCCAGCTGTGTTCTGGTGCCCCCCTCCCACACACACACACACACACACACTTCCGCTATGATTTGGACGAGCTACTGCATTGCCACCGACACCCCCTTGCATAACACCGCGCTGCCTGGCGCCTGACGCACACCGTTTCCCGCCCCACCCCGCCATCCCTGACCCGCTTGAAGGCCGTGCTCTTCCTCGGCGTGGACCTGGACCCTCGCTATCTCCTACCGAGGCGCCACCAGCGGAATTCTCGCCCACCTGTTCACTCATTGCGTGGGAACAGAGGGCAACTGCTTCGATAATTTGAAAACCGTCCGGTGGATCAGAGCAAGATAAGTAGTAAGCTCGCTATGTGGCTTGAGAGAAAATACAAGAGAGAAAACGGAGGAAAGGATTGGGAGGGGGGGGGGCGCTGTACTGCTATCGCGGAGACCGTGGCTATCGCCTCTTCGCGGCATTCGGAGCGTTTCATGTTTTTCTCTCACCGCGAACTCACACGCGGATTCGCACGAGCGTTTCCGAAGCGTTTGGAATGGGACACTTTGGGGAACTTGTTGTATTCGTTCGCGTGAGAGAAGCCGAAGCGGTTCGTGAATTTGGGTTTGCTGCGAGGGCCATGGGCCTCTGGGAGGTACTTTTCCTACAGCTCCCCTGAGTTGAAAACACGGCGGATGCTGCCGCTTTACATCCATAAGCAGGCGCCCGTACCCTGCCCGGGCGTCAACGCGCTGCTCGGCGCAGATGCCTGTGGCAAGAGATGAGGGTGTTCCACACGCTGGCGTCCACCTCGCGCCAGGCGCCAGGCACAGCGGAGTGTGGTGAGGGGGCAGAATTTTTGCGGTAAATGATTATTCATTAATTTGAGTGCACACTGGCGAGAGCGGCGGCGAAGAGGAGTGCCGCGGCCGGTGCTCGGCCAGTTCCAGCCGGTGCCCCGCGGTGCCCGCCGTGCTGGCCGTGCCGTGCCCGCTGGGACTCGGTCTACTCGCTATACAGTTCCCGCTCACGCTCACCGTGTTCCTGCTCAGCCATGCCGATCCCGATCGCTCCTCGCACGCGACTAGACGGCTTCGGCGCGCCCTATCGCCCGTCCCGCATAGCGGCAGATAACGCCAAAGACCGCGGCCCAGGCTGTCAACCGGACACATAACGCGTTCAAACCAGAAGCGCGCGGCAGCGCGTCCACCTGGTGTGGACGATGCACATTCGACAAGTTTATGTTCAAATTTGAAAGGGGCTGGGCCGACGCCCAAGTCCGAGGTTGTTTTCTGCTGGCCCGTGCACTCACCAGCCTTTGCAAGAGGCATGCTGGAACTTGACTTGAAACGACAATGGAACCGACCTGAGCTCACCACACTCGAAACCCCGAAACGATATAACGCTTTAAACCGAACAAACTTTCAATGAAAGGCAACTTAGCTTTGTTTCATTTGAACTAACGCGCGGAAACAAGTGTTCCCTAGAAATTAAGGAGCACCAACAATTAAGCTAAAATCTCTCATCTTGATTTTCTATTTTCTATTTTATTTTTTCACTTAAATAAATGTCGAAAACATCAGCTGCTGTGACTAAAAGTGTTATTTCAATTTTTTCAAGGTAAATTATTTTGGAAAAGCTTTCAGATTTATTAGTTTCACTTTAAAAGGTTCTCGCAGGTCTGCCAAGTGGCGCTCGTCTGGTGGCGCTGCCACTCGGACTGTGGCGTTTTCAGAAAACTTACGTTCGGTCGGTGTCGGTAAACGAAAGAAAAAACGAAGAAGCGTTGCATTATGGTCGACTTGTAAAACCGTCAATGCCTCAAGTATGTTTTTGTTACTGTTTTGTTAATGCAAAACGCCTGTCTGATCAATTTGAGATGTTTAAATTACTTTTACGATCAAATGTAGAGTAGATGCTGTTAGGATGTGAGGTGTACTGACTGCACATAAGTGTGCCTCTGACACCTTATGACCTACGTCTCTGTGGTAACAGTCCACCTGTTGACAGGATCAGGATGTCGGTGCAGTGCAGACAGGCCAGATCCAGATGTGTGTTGTCATAACCTAATTGGTATTACTGGACTTAAACGAAGCAATGCAATATGTTCTGTAGTCTTAATTTTGTTCTGGATTTTGCTGTTACTCTACTTTAATACAATGTGTAGTTAGTTTTTGAAATGTCTTGGAAGTTCCCTTATCTGATCAAATGAACCTTCTCTATATCAGTACTTGTTTGGTCTTTATTATTCAGTGTGTTTGACCTAACAATGTTGTATCACAAGCTCATAGTTGTGGACAACATACAATAATAGCACACTTTCAATAGAGTTTTGGTGAAGCTTTGATAACGAGTATGAGTAAGACAACTGCACACTTCCTGTTTTAGTCAATGACTCACACCAACACTGTGAGAGAGTAATTTTTAGGAGTGAAATGACCCTTTTATTGACTAGCTAATGTGTACTGTTAAAAAGTAGTTGATCATCTGTATGATGGGCTGGAGACTTTTCAAGTCTTTTAACCTTTTCCGTTTTCTTCAACAGCGTGCCATCTTTGCTGACTTAGATGTCATAAACCCTCAATTAGTCACTATGCCTCGGCCTTGCCAGGTTGGACCCCATGAGCCGGGGTTGTCTGTTCATGGTGCTGGTCACAGCATAGTCAACAAACCTCCTAGAGGATGGCTGCATTCTGATAAGCAGATCTCAGACGAGGGAATCACTTATGCTGTTAGGGTAAGTCATTAATTTGTTAACTGTCAAAACATGTGATAAGATGTCATATACTGATTGCTTATTCTCTTCAATTTGCAGTACATTGGTTATCTTGCAGTTAACACCTCCATGAAAGCTTTGGATTTTGAAACACGTTCCCAAGTTGCTAAGTAAGAGTTTTCTAAAAATTGATTTTATTTATTTTTAATTATCAGATATTGTCTACTAGATACCAGTTTATGAGATCCCTTACAAATATCCTTTATCTTTGTATCTCATTTTGTTTCAGGGAGTGTATTAACAGAGTTTGTGAAGCTGCTAGTCTTAAAACTGTTGACAAAAAGAGAAAGGTAATGCCAAATAAAATACTTACCAAAGATGTGTTACACGGTCAGATTAAATGCAGACTTAATTTCACCTCATCTATCTTTTGTTCTTCAGGTGGATAAAAGAGTATTAAAAGCTATAGGAGAACGACCAATCATGGACGATGCAGGAACTAATGTAAACCTTACCATATCTAGCTCACATCTCATCTTAACAGCTCTTGAAACTGGTCGAGTTTTAGCTACTCACAGCATGCCACATATATCATTTGCATCTGGAGGTGACACAGTAAGTTAGCACATGCATGGGAACTTTTTTTTACTGCCCCTTTTAAAGTAAAAAAAAAAAGAATGGTTTCTGACATTCAACATATTGTGCATGACATTTTCAGGACACACTGGACTTTGTTGCGTATGTTGCTAAAGATGACCATGATATTCGGGCATGTTATGTTCTGGAATGTGGTGGAGGACTAGCCCAAGATGTTATCACTACCGTTGGCCAGGCTTTTGAACTACGCTACAAGGAGTTTCTAACAAGACCTGGCAGTGCCACCTTAATGTGAGGTTTAAATCTATTCTATCTCTTCTTTCCCCCAGCTTCAGTGTATATATGCTTTAACATGTTGATTGTATTTCAAGGCCAAGGGGTGATGACCGTGAGTACTACAATGACTTACCTGGGAAGGTTCCTCCCGACATAGGACCTCCTCCTGTGCCGCCATTGCCCACAGTACACAATACCTGCACCACCAACACTATGACAATGAGCAATCTCTGTAGGGGTAAGTTTGAAGAGTTTAATGCTCATCCAGCACCTCAGACTTCTATCCTTGACACATTTGCTCATGAATTTTCTCTTTTCTAATGCAACAGCAGAAATTTCCGCCCCAAATTTGATTGACTTAAACAGTGAAGTGCCTCCACCACCTATTCCACGACCAGAGCATAATTATGTAAATGACAGTGTTATGTCAGAGGCAAGGGACCGTCTTAATTCTGTTCAACCTCGAGATATTTTTGACATGCGTATGTTGATTCCTATACCATTTTTTTTTTTTTAATGAAAGATATTGTCTATGAATTGTCTTGCTTCTTTTAAATTGTAGAGCCATTCAATACTGCTGTTGAAAGTACGAGTGCCCGTGTGTCAAATCAGAGAGGACAACTTCTTAATGAAAAATGGTTCCATGGATTTGTGAGTCGCCAAGAAGCTGAGGCCCTCTTGACCAGAGTATGTATTGTTCTTTCTCTCAGGAAAATTTAACTCCCCCTAATTTGACTCTCTTTTTTAAAAAAAATCTGTTTAAAATTACAGGATGGGGATTTCCTTGTAAGAGAATCTCAAGGCTCTGCTGGGCAGTTTGTTCTCACTGGCTTGCAAGGTGGAGTTAAAAAACACCTCCTCCTAATAGATCCTGAAGGAGTGGTGAGTTACTGTTAATATAATAACTGTTCAATTCTCTGAAATTTAATTTTTGTTAAAATCTGCATTAACTTTCTTAATATTCTAGGTTCGGACTAGAGATAGAATGTTTGAGAGTGTGAGTCACCTTATAAAATATCATTGTGAAAATCAGTTGCCAATCATATCAGCTGAAAGTGCCTTAGTATTAAGAAGACCTGTACCCAGACCAGGAATTGCAATCATGAGGTAATTTCAATCTAGATCAACAGTGATCTTTGATCATGTCATCTCATTAATGGGGTCCAGTTAAACAAATTTTGTCATTTCCCTAGATCAATTCTACTCTAATTCATATTTTATGCTGCCTTAGTTTTTCTTTTTAAAGTAGATCCCTTATTTTATTTTTAGCTTTTGCTCACATTGTAGAAGTTTAATCTATTTTAAAATCCTAACTTTGACTTATTTGTTCAAAGGATAATATTTTTCACTTTAATATAATTACTGTTAATAAATTTCTACTGAACAGAATTGTTTGTTTTCCAAGCAATTTCTTACTTTTAAAATTTGTTAGAGCCCATTTTGTTAAACACAGAATTTGTGATATTTATTCTATGACAACAAATTTGTTGCTATGACAAGTCTTCAACATGTGTTGATGCACTCTGACCCATATCCTCTCTCTCGGCCGAGATTAGTATTATATTTTATTTTGTGTTCAGTATGACATGTTAAGTCTATCCATCGAACAGAATTTTTACATACATATTTTGTTCAACTATTTACTCTATGTAGTATTGTTGCCATAATCGCGTATTTTAACTATTTGCATATTATATTGTGACTGCCATATCAAGCATAGAAATAAATGTTCATGCGTCATACATTTATCACTATATATTTTCAACTGAGTCAAATGACTTTCATATTTTTACTATAGACTTTTTTCTTCTATTAGTGTGTTTTAGGACTGAAGGACTGTTGTTACTGTTACAATCGAAGCTGACAAATGGTTAGTTCAATGTTTCATTATTGTTTTTGTTCAACTTAAGATGAATTTATTCTCAATCAATTTTATCATATTTGAAAAACACTTGTTCATTTTTATCACTGCACTTATTATTTTCTACTCTCGCCATGAAACTGAATAACGATCGTCTCTGTCCCCTAAAAAAGTTATGGCATACCACCCCTAATGTTTTTAGGACTTGCCCAATGTGCCTGTTTCTGATCCAAATTATTGTACTGCTTTTGTGTGATCAAGAATATATTAGATAACTGTACTGCAACTTGTTATGATTTATCCATCTGTTCCGTTCCCTTTCACCCCTTTACCCACGTAGCCTCCAGCCCCTACAGTAACATAGTGGACTTGTTCCTTCCCAACTCACGCAATCGGACGCAGCCGATTTACCGACACACTCTGGTAAAGGTAGTGAGGCGGTCCGGCGGCCGGCGTTGATTTCCTCTGCGTCCGAAGGGATTTTCCCAGGCATGTGCAGTCCTTGTCGCACCCCGCACGCTTCGCCAGTGGGTGGAGGAGAGGGTGCAGCGGGCCGAGGGTGCGACGCGACGCAGTCGCGATCAATAAACTTGGAGAGGACAACTGCCTCAACGAAGTGACGGCAAAGTAATCGAGTAAGCAAGAAGATAAACTTACAACTACATCAGGAAAAGCTGAACTGTAGGGTGCCAATAAAGATGTGGGACTGTGAGTATATCATGCGTATTCATGTAGCCGTTCAAGTGAAACGTGCGCGTTAACATTTACCAATCTCAGTCCCTACGGACGGGTTCTGGCTTTAATCGGTACGCTGCACCTCATCGCACCGTCTGCTAGGGTATTTGTATTTTGTATTTTTCCGAAAAGATTCAGCGTGTATTTTATTAAACTTGTGTAAAAAATCTCCGGAGAAGGGAGAGGGGGGCATATGTTAGGCACCTGGCTGTACTTATTGTTAACCAAAACAAGCGAGTAGGACAGGCAGTATTGAATGGTTGGGTTGGATTGAATTTACACTTCAACCATAGTTTAAAGCTCAGGTCCTGCAGGAGGACATAAAGTAGTATGAATATGTATGTACTGCTGGTTGTCTACTTTCAACCCTTTCCTTTCACTGCTATTAAGACAGGTTGGCCAAGTGCAGAAGACGTCTGCTCCAATTTTCAAATTAACACTGGATTTTGACATCAATTACGTGACGAATACCAAACTAGTGATACTTCGTTCAGAATATAACGAAATTTCATTGTCAATCACAGTCGAGTGATTGGAATGTTTGTATGGGTAGCAACCAGGTAGTAGCCGGTCCTTTTACGTGCCGCTGCCCAGTGCCGTGCCCGTAGTACGCGCAGCTGATCGCTTGTGCTGCTTGGAAAGTGTAGGCAGTGATGTTTGTGAATGAATGAATGAGATTGTGAGATGTCATCTTTCGCGTGTACGGTTTAAATCTGTCCTGCCTTTATTTTAAAAGCAGCATCAGTTATGCCAGCCGTCAATTAAATTTTCACATTTGAAAAATTTTGGGTTGTTGCAAAGTTCTTCACATAACCTTCCTTAACCAGGAAATGATCTCTGAGTTCAACTGTAAACATGGAAAACCTAGGTAAAGCTTTTTATTTCGGTAATTTGGATTTTAGGTCAATTTTTGTCAAACTTTGTGGCCTGTTTATAAGTGCTGTATGTTCTATTCCCACTTAGTGGCCTTCTAAGTTTGTTTATCCATGAAAGACTTGCGTTACTGTTCAGATAATAACATTTCTACACACTAGTTTCATTACAACGATTAACAATGATTTAATAAATAATCATTACTTTCTTTCAGCCACCATGTTCTTGAGTACGCTCACTCCAAAGTTTTACGTGGCTCTAACTGGAACATCGTCGCTTATTTCAGGGATGATTTTGGTCTGTATTCTTCTACTCAAATGTGTACAAATATAATCTTGTAAAGTGAAGGTTTTATTTTTATAACTCTACCGTCACCTTTTGAACAGATTTTTGAGTGGTGGTATTTTAGGAAGTATGGAGCATCATTTATTGAACAAGTATCATTAAATCATATAAGTCCATGGATAAGTGGTTCAGACAATGGGAGCGAGAGTAATGGTAACAACAGTAACAGTAGCAACAGCAGCAATAGTATTGCTAGTGGAACAAGTAATGGCACTACCAGTAATAGTAGTAATGGTAGTGGCTCGAGTAGTAGCTCTAATGGGAACCAACAATCAGTGCCAGGTATGATAATGGAAAAAAAACATTGTTTGGAGCATATTTCTCTTCTCCATCTGTTTCTCATCATATCATTTATCAAACTGTATGTTAATGTTTCAGAGTGCAAAGTGTGGAGGAATCCTTTAAATTTATTTAGAGGGTCTGAATATCAAAGATTCTATTGGGCTGCCAACAAGGAACCTCTTACATATTATGATATGAATCTTTCAGCCCAAGATCATCAAACATTTTTTACCTGTGAAGGAGATGTTGGTAAAAAAGAGTATGAATGTGAGTTGTATTATATATT